AAAAAAAAAAAAAAACGGGACAATGAGAACGGTTGGCAATATGTGACAAGGAAAACAAGTAGGTCTGTGTGTGTGTGTGTGTGTGTGTGTGTGTGTACTTGAGCTTTAGTAGTGGTTAATGTGTTCAATTTGTCATCCCTGCAGTTTCTAAACAAAACTGGGAGGTTTTCTAGAGAGTCATCAGGATTTGTTTTAAGGTTTGTATATAGTCTACTGTGGAAAATTCTCTCACATTCCACCCTTAAATAAAGCTGTGGAGGAGGAGCCCACAGCAGATTGTTTGCAGACCCCTGTGGCCTCAACCAAGAAATCAAGCTTTCTTTTCAGACCTATAGTATAAATGGCATCTAGCCAAATTTATTGCCCCAAACATACTGAAAAGATTTTGATATAGAAAGCTCACACTGAAAAGCCACTGTTGACTTTCATTGCGCAAGAGGGATTAAGTCGGTGGGCCAACACTAATAATAGACACTACCCTCATAAATTCATTCCTGGAGGGAAAGCCCTGCGGATCCATATTCCCAAACAAAGCACAAACCAATACAGAGATATAGAGAATAGCAGAGACACCAACACAAGCACAGCCACTGCACAGTGTCATTAACTCTAGAAAATTATAATTTCTATACCTGAAGTTATATAGATTTTATAAAAAAAATGTCAGTGTTCACTAAAGCAGCAACATTTGTTTTAGTTAAGCCTTTTTCATTTAAGAACGTCACAATTCAGTAAGCAAAAAAAGCATGAAAAAAGAACTGCAACCAAAGTCAATCATTGTTGTTTACTCACTGAATGCAAAACGTTTTAAAGGGGTCATATGATGCGATTTCAAGTTTTCCTTTCTCTTTGGAGTGTTACAAGCTGATTGTGCATAGATAAGATCCCTGAACTTGCAAAGACTAAAGTCTCAAAACCAAAGAGATATTCTTTATCAAAGTTAAGACTCTGCCACGCCCCTCTAAAACGGCTCGTTCTAACACGCCCCCACATATCTACCTCACTATGTGGAAATATTTGCATAATGCCGCCCAAATGTTCACGCAAAGAAAGAAGGCGTGGTTTCAGTAACTGCAGTTAGTGTTGAAGCAGCCATGTCAGGGAGACGCTGTGTGTTTCAGTGCGAAAGCAAAAGCACTTTATTTGGCCTTCTGAAAGTAGATGCATTTAGGAATCTTTAAGATTACTTACAACAGAACAGCAATGCATTTTATGGACGACCGTTTCGTGAACCTAGGAGAGGAGGTAATTCTGACTTTGCTATGACAATCTGGCGCTTCTGAATCAGCTACTGTTTTGTTATTAGTTTAAGTATTTGCTATTGACTGTTCAAATGCGGAGTTTTGCGCATCGTGTGTGTGCATGTGTGTGTGTGTGTGTGTGTGAGAGAGAGCGCGAGAGAGCGAGACACATCACAGTGGAGTCAGCTGATGAATATGTGATGAATACATATTCATCACTGTGTCTGTCACGAGACTCTGTTCCCCTTTCAAGCTGT